AGTCACCGTATCTTCCTAGACCACAGCAACAGATAATCATGTGCAGTCTCACAGCTGTATTTGCCCCCTTCACACATGTGTGCAGCTGAGTTAAGATCAGGGTGGATGGATACTTCCGAGAGGCAAATAATTACATGGGATACACCAAAGTTTTGCTCTGTTTTCTGTTTTGTGGTTTAATTGCAAGTAACCATATTATGGTTACGAGTAACCATAAAATCAGAAGAGCATGGGCTAGCACAGCTGCACCTCTCCCTGAGCAGGAGTGCAGGAGTTATTTGTACATTACTGCATTGGGCAATATAGACATATACAGGAGACGAGCACTTCCCAGCCTGTGGCTTGTGGGCTCCGTGTTGCCTAAGAACCCATTTGGTGTTGCTTATGGTGCAGTAAATCAACAAGTCGAAACAGTGGCTGACACGGAGGGACAGCCCCGGAATGGGCTGCAGGAAGGAAACCTGCTGAGGGTTGGGGTCCAACACGTGTCTGGGGGGCTGCTCCCATGTACCTTCGTATTTTGCTGCGCGCCAAGAAAAAGGAAAAAAAGGATCCATTTATCAGTGGAACAATAGAATTTACTGGCAATGGCTTGAATTAGAAACTTTGTTGCAGAGTGGAAGGAAATTGAGGCTTAATTCAGACTTGTGGATTAATCCTTGCTGGCTTCTTCTAAACTGTTAAAAAGCTGGCATCAGTGCACTCTGTTGGTCTGAGACCACTTTTTATTCTCATTTTACTACATTAATGCTTAAGCGTATCAGTCAGTGCATTTTTTTTCTTGTGAAGGTTCATGCTATTAAGTACTTTGTCCCCTGAGCTTCACACTTTCCTGCTCTTACTAATGGGGTGGGGTAGCATTTGCAAGAGTAAGGAGAGTCTTCTCTTAAAGGTTTGCACTCCTTGGGGAAGGCATCGTGTTGCGTAATGGTGCAAACAAAATAATTCAAGAGGAGTAATACATGTAGAAACTGGAAATGCCAAGTTATTACTTTATATAAACTCTAGCAATTATTCCT